GTGTGTGTGTGTGTGTGTGTGTGTGTGTGTGTGTGTGTGTGTGTGTATGTATAGTTTCTTCTTGTCCAGAAGGAACATGGGATTTCAGTGTCCTATATAAATACTCTTTGAAGTTAAGGTTGTGTTTTATTTGCCCACAGGTCCTCTTCCTGACTACACACCACCAGAAATATTCTCATTTGAAAGTACTACAGGATTCACATTGTATGGAATGATGTATAAACCTCATGATCTACAGCCTGGGAAGAAGTATCCCACTGTGCTGTTCATCTATGGTGGTCCTCAGGTAGGGGTGTCACTTTCAGTAGTCAAGTTGAGTAAGCTAGGATTTTGTCTATATGTCTAGTGTCTTGAATCCTCTTAGGTTTGAATGTGTTAGTATGTGCTTAATAAATATGATGGATAAGTGAGTTGAAGTTTAAGAGATTTGATTTTGTCAATTTATTCATTATTAACTAGGCCTCAGACGTGTGCATATAACCAGAATTGCAGAAAACTGATTTATAAGCGAATTTATCAGTGTATTAATTTACCATGAAAACTATGACTACCAAATGGACTAGAATATATGTGTCAATCAGCAAGCATGATCTCATCTCAATAGGGAAATTTATTTATAAAATTGATTAAAATTAGAAGATTTTTTTTTATAATATAGAGTCAAAGCAAAGGGATTTGGATGTTGTTAGAAGATATTTTCAGCAAGTTCAATAGCCCAGTGAAATTATCCTCCCACCCTAAGGAAATACCTGCCAAATAGCTTGGAATATTTAGTACATGCTTTCTCTCAGTTCTAGATGAACAATAACCAATTCTCACTCTTAAGTTCTTCTTTGTCTAGATTCTTTGTTGTTGTTGTTTGAAGGTTATGTTAACACCACCCACATTTCACAGCATTAAAGGAAGAGTGAAAACAAGTATCAGTGTGTAGCAATAATATCTGGCTTATAGGTATTAGATTTCTTTTAAATGTTTGTTCTTTCTTGTGTATACTCTATTTTTTCTAGCTCCTTTCCTTTAGTAAAAATAATATTTGCCACAAAAATTTTCATGGGGACAGAGGATAAGAATGTAGTTATTGTATCTACGCTTCAGTATACATTTGTGATGTCATCATGAGATTTTTCCCCTCCACTGGTACAAATCATAGCCTAATAGTGCTTTTTCATTTTGCCCTTGCCTATGTCCTTCCTTCCATAAATCCTCCATACAGAATCTGTCATTGTGCTAGAGGCTGTCAGCCAGGTTTTCTAATATTTCATGAATATCTATGCAATATTTGTACTGTTCACCCTTTTAATTCCTCACTTTGGCATGTAATAAAACCAACTCTGCTAATTCTTTGCCCTTCTGATGAGAACCTATAAGTTATCTTTCCATTTAGCTACCATTTCTTCTTCTTTTTGGGGGGGCTTTGTTTATAGTGAGAATGGGAGATAGATGTGGTTCATTTCCTCCTATGGTATATCAAATTGTTGATCATTGGATACTTATTTCATATTAAGAGTAATAGCAGCTAAATATTTTTAGATGGTCTAAAGCCTGTGCAATTTTTAGCACTTTATTCCACCACCTGAATCCTATTTTTATAATCCCTCCATTGTCTTCACTGTGGAAGTGGAATGGGATTGCATAGGTTTGAGTGATATTTTACATTTTAAATTTATATTATATATTTATTATATTATATATTTTTCTGTATTATATATTTCATAATTTATATTATATTTCATGAGTCACCGAAGTCAAAAAAATTATCTTTTAGTGGCCAACCTGCTGGTGATGAACTTGTCCTTCCTTCGCAAGGTTGGTCTTTAGGCAGCAGGCACAATCTGTCGCTGGCAGTGTACTCAGAACTTTCCTAACCTGGTAGAGTTTGCCTCTGCCATGGCCTCTAATCTATGATGAAGCATCAAAGTAAGCCTTTCATGGAGGTATCATATCCAAATTTGGCAGGGGGAGGGGGAGGAGATTGACTGTATTATTTCAGGGTTTTATACTATCCTTTTTTCATTTGAGGAAAAAATTATATTTTCTTTTTTCCAATATGTTTTATTTTAAACTTAAATACAAAATAAGAAAAGAGAAACAAATGTAATACTAGAACTAAAATAATACAATAAGAAAAGAAAAAAAAGCATTGCCATGTGCACAGTAGAACGCAAGAGAGGATCCAAAATATACAGCGATAAATTTCCATTTCAAGAAAGCCTATGTAATAAATACCACCCATTGTGTTGAGAGCTGTCCATCTTTTCTTTGCTTCCTTGTAAGTTTTCTTTTATTCTCTGTTGTAAACTTTTTACTTTGTTATTTTTTCCTCCTCCCCCCTCCCCAGGCTACAGTTAAGTGTGGACACACATACATACACACACACACACAAACACACGTACATGTATACATACACATATAGACATATACACACATATACCCGTACATACATACACTTACTTACATATACATATACTTAGATATCTGTAATTATACTCATATATAGACATATACATTCATATGTATCTATGTAAGATCAGACTATACTTGTTTGTCTTCTGTTTTTCTGAGGGTGGATAACCTCTTTCTTCATAAGTCCAAGTCTTTCCATGTTTTTCCAAGCCCACCAACTCATCATTTCCTACAACACAGCAATATTCCAACCTTATACCGTCTAGTTGTTTTAAATAGGCCTAAACAGCATTGATAAATATTGATGAATACTACCCATAGTGTAGTTTTCCTATTTTTCTCTTTTAATTAAATGTATTTTAGCCTTAACTTTGTCCGACATCATGATTACCATCCTTATTCCTTTTTCCCTAACAAATTCTACTCCTGATCTTTATTTTGTTTGTGCATATCTCTTATTTCCTAACCCTCCTGACTGCTCTTCTTTACTTCTACCCACTATCTTGCCCTCCTATTACTTAATCTACACCCCTCCAAGGGTCTCTCCCTTATCCTCTCATTTCCATTAATCTAAACACCCTTTGATACCCACCCCCTTTTAATCAATTCCCTCACCCTCTCCTCCAAAGATCCCTCCCTTATCCTTTCTCCCTTCCCTATCCCCTTAGTGTTTTATTTCTTTCTGAATTTAGAAGACTTTTATACTCTTCTAGATATATTTGTATTGTTCCCTCTTGAAGACATTCCTGATGAAAGAAGGTTTCCAGAACTACCAGCCCTCCTCCCCCATCTAATTCCTCTGTGTTGGTTCTTCCTCTCATACCTCATTTGTATAAGATAATTACTCTTTTTAGCTGTTACTAAATGGTTTTACTTTTTAAAATCATATCATACTCAGGTCTACCCCAATCGTTTTTTACAAACTACCCAATTACTAGTAACAATCTTAGACATATATTTTATATTTCCTCATAAAAAATGTAAAGAGTCTGTCCTTATTGAGTCCCTTGTAATTAGTCTTTGGTGTGTACCTTATATTTCTCTTGGCTCTTGTATGTCAAATCTTCTATTAAGTTCAGGGTTTTGTTCTTTTCTTTTAACAAAATCCTTCTGACAATTGAGTAAATGTCCATTTTTTTCATTCAGGATTATGCTTACCTTTGCTGGGGATGATATTTTTGGCCAGAACCCCAGTTCTTTTGCTTTTTGATATGTAGTGCTCCAAGACCTGTGGTCTTTTAGTATCGCTGCTGCTAGGTCTTGTGTGATTTCTGATTGTGGCACCACCATATTTAAATTATTTTTTCTTGTTGCTTGTAATATTTTATCCTTGAGCCAAGGGTTTTGGAATTTAACTATGATATTCCTGTGGGTTTTCCTCATAGGATCTCTTTTGGGTGGTGATTGGAGGATTTTTTTCTATTTCTCCTTTCCCCTCTTGTTCTAATGCTTCAGAACAGTTTTGTTTAATTATTTCTATTTAACTATTTCTTCTAATTATTATTATATCAAGATTCTTTTTTTGATCATAGCTTTTAGGTTTTCTCTTCCTGAGCTATTCTTCAGATCAGTTGTTTTTCATATGAGATGTTTCACATTCTCTTCTATTATTTCATTCTTTATATTTTGTTTTATTATTTCTTGGTCTCTTATGACTTTGCTGGCTTCCCTTTGCCCAATTCTGATTTTCAAGGAGTCATTTTCTTCCTTAAGATTCTGGATCTCTTTTTCTAATTGGTTGACTTTCTTTTCATAATCTTCTTTTTCTTGGATTTTTCTTCTTTTTCTTTCTTTCTTTTCTTTTTTTTTTTTTTTTTTAGTTTTTCCTCAATCTCTCTCATTTGATTTTTAAAGTCTTTTAAGTTCTTCTATGAATTCTTTTTGGGCAGGTGACCATTTGATGTTACTCTTTGGGGTAGAAGAGGGTTTCTTTGCTTCAGTATCCTCCTCTGAAGACAAACCCCAGTCTTCTGTATTCCATAGGAACTTTCTGTGGTTGAATTCTCTCTCCTTTGCCTGCTCATTTTTTTTTTACTTGTAGCAGCTTATTTTTTGTAATCACCTCTAGCCCTGGGGTTTGAGGGATGGTGTCTCTGGCTTCAGATCCTTCGGTTCTCCCCTCTGGTGTGGAACCAAAACCAAGACCTCCAGCCTCCAATAAGTGCTCACGGCAAGCAGTTTCTTGCCCCACTGCTTCTGCTCCTACCAGGCGTGTGCCGGTTCCTTCTTCCCCAGGGCCGTGTCTCAGCAACACAGCTGGCTCTGGCATTTCTTGTCAGCATAGGTTCCTTCAATCTTCCCTGGCTCAGATGCCCAACTCCCCTCACTGACTTGGGAGTAAAAGTTCCTGTGGCTGGGGTTGAGGCTGCCTCTTAGCCCAGCTAACCCAAGGGCTTGCCTCTTGTTGTTTAAGTGGAACTAGCCTGGAGGTGTTTATTCTTCATAGGGACCAAACTGCATCCTGGGATTTTTCTTCAGATCTTCTCCAATTGTCCCTGGAGGAACACTGTTCTCTGCCCCTACTCTTATTTGTTTTTACCACTGTATGTTTGCCTTGAGGCTCTATTTTATCTTGTTTATGGGGGAAATCTGGAGAGCTTGGGATTTTCTGATGTACTCTGCCATCTTCCTAGAATCCTCTCTGAAAAATTATATTTTCTTTACTCATTTATTTGTACATTTTGCAATATCCATTTGATAGTTAATCACATATTTCTTCACAAATTTCTTATATCTTACTAAATTATCTAGCCCTTTCATAATTTTTTGACTTTTCACTTGTTTATCTTGTCTCCCCAAGCCAGTAAATGTGCTCCTCAAGGGCAAAGACTATTTTTAATGTTTCTTTGTATCACCTCTAATACCACCTGTTTTATATGCAGGAGGCTTTCAATAAATGTTTGTTATTGATTATTTCTAGTGCCACTTCCTAATTACTTCCTGGCTCCTCTGTGGGGTTATATTTATTTCAGTCACTTTCCTTCTGGTTCATATTTACCAGAACTTTGTTTCTAATGAATTCTCTAATGCCCTTCTTCATTCTTTGAGCCTCCTGAACTTTTTGTCCATACAATATAGCATTCATATCGCTACATGCTACTCTTATTCTAGGGAAGTACTAACACATATTTTACTCTCATAGACTTGTCACTTTGAAGTATGAGACAGAGAAGCAATTAAATTATTTTCCTTTCCTGAAATTGAATGAATAAAAAAGGCATTTATTAAGTGCTTACTATGTTCCAAGAACAATGTAAATGCTGCCTTTAAGGAGCTTATGTTTTAATAGGGGAAGATAACCCCTATAAGGAGAGTGGTAGCCAGGGAGAGGGGTGTTTTGGATAGAGAAGTCAGAGAGAATGGTGGTTGTTGCCATAGAGCAAATGATTGACATGACCTTTACAGCAATGCTAGTGTTGATATTATTACTGTTCTCAGAACTAGAGTTTGAGGTGTTGGGGAAAAAAGGCTATGTATATAGCAGCATGGCATGAAGAAAGTCAGAAAGTGGTATGGTAGACTAAAACCAAAATACGATAATGTGAATATTCCCAATCCAGAGCCAAAAGATGGGAGTTTAAATTCCAGTAGAAAGTGGAAGCTGTAGCTGCAGATAACATGGCATAGAGAGAGCCAAGAAACTGACATGGTCACATGTCAATTCACAATTGCTCTTAAATATGTGAAATAATTCTCACTGTTATTGGAAAACTTTAAGGCCAAAAATAGAAACCTTAACTATCAGCATTCATTTTAATGCTATTTAATTTTTTCCCCAAGTACTATATAATCTTAAAAAAAGTTTGTTTTATTAATGCCTTTTGTTTTACATCATAACCATTTCCAGTTATATCACCATCCCCCAAGAATGCTCTTTTATAACCACAGAGACAAGTATATTTAACCAATGTAGTGACTGTATCTGATGGAATATACCGCTACCACCATTCTCCTTTAAGGAGGGAAATACATTTTATCATCTATTCTCAAGGAGGAATACTTAGTATTACAGTTATTCAGAATTTGACTTCTTTGGGGGGGATTCTTTTTGGTTTACATTGTTGTAGTTATTGTGTATATCGTTCTTGTTTCTTCTTCACTCTATATCAGATCATACAAATTTTCCCGTGTTTCTGTGAATGTGTCATATTGGCTGTTTCTAATGGCACAATAATATAGTATTACATTCATGTGCAATGTTGTAATGATGTGAAGAGCAGCTAGGTAGTACAGCAGATGGAGTGCCGGGCCTGGAGTCAGGAAGAACCTGAGTTCAAATGTGACCTCAGACACTAGTTATATGACCCTAGGCAAGTTACTTACCCCTGTTTGCCTCAATTTCCTCATCTGTAAAATTAGGAAATTCCTGAAATAAGAGATGGCAAACCACTCTAATATCTTTGCCAAGAAAACCTTAAATAGGGTCACAAAGAATTGGACACAACTGAAAATGACTAAACAACAACACATTCCTATATGACAATTTGTTATGCCATTCCCCAGTTGGTGTCACCTACTTTGTTCCCCTTTTTTGCTACCACACAGTGTTTCTCTGACTATTTTGATACATATGCATATGGAGCCTTTCTCTTTGGTATATGTGCTTAGGAGTGGAGTTGCAGGGCCAAAAGGTATGAACAGTTTAGTGACTTTTACTGCGTATTCCAAGTTGTTTTCCAGAATAGTTAGACCACTTCATAGCTCCATTAATAAATGTATATTACTGTGCCTGTCTTCTCACATCCACTCCAACACTGATTATTTCTATCTTTTATCATCTCTGCTGACTTGATGGGTGTGAGGTGAAACCTCAAAGTTGTTTTAATTTATATTTCTATTATTAATGATTTGGAAATTTTTTTCATATGGTTTTGATAGTTTGCAATTTTTCCTTTGACAGCTCTTTGTTCACATCCTTTAACCACTTACTTATTGGAGAATGATCCTTGGTCATATATTTATGCTAATTCCTTATATGTCTTGGATATGAGACTTTTATCAGAGATATTTGACTTACAGATTTTTTTTCCTCACCTAACAGTTTTCTCTCCTTATTTTTAATTTACTTTTAAAAAGTACTTAATCACATAGCAAAATAGTATCAACAGCAATTTAAGCAATTTAGTTATTTGAGTAGTCATACTTGCTTCATTCTTTTGCATATAAATTATTTTGTAGAATTTGACTGATGTTATATTTCTTTCTCAGGTGCAGCTGGTGAATAATCGGTTTAAAGGAGTCAAGTATTTCCGTTTGAATACGTTGGCATCTCTGGGTTATGTAGTTGTGGTAATAGACAACAGGGGATCTTGTCATCGAGGGCTTAAATTTGAAGGTGCCTTCAAGTATAAAATGGTGTGTGTGCAAGAAAATATTTGCCTGTTAAACATCTTGATGCATTGTGTGGCATTGGTCAGTGTAAAACCCTGAGAGTAAAAGAGAGACAGAGTAGGAAGCTGGTGATTAATAAAACATATTAATTCATTTCATCTTGTTTGGAACCTTAGAGATATAAGACAGAACTACTTAACCTAATTTGTAGAAGTATCCCTGACTTCTGATTTTCAGAGTTTGAGATTAAAAGTAACATTGCCAGTTTGCAGCTTCCTATATAATACCAAGAAGAATGTTTGAGCTTTGTCCTGTCCACTGCAAAGAGGGAGGGAGACCAGCTGATCAATGTCTCCTTGTGATAAGCTTTTTTCTCTCTACAGGAAGCTTAAAATGCTACCTTTTAGAGATGCTCCCATGTTATACCTGCTGCATTTGGGAAACAAGAAACTGATGTTCCTTTTGCACAGTAAGACAGTTACGATATTTGCCAGTGTATTCAACATGCTGAGTAGGACATGGTGACTTTTTCTTAAGGTCAATTCTTTGACCTTATGTTGTACTTTCATGTAAGACTTCTTTCTGGCTTAGAAAATTAAATTTTATGTCCTGGCATACCATATCTCTCTGAAAGTATTATGTTTAATGAAAGGGATAGAGATTTGGGAAACAGCAAGTTGGTGCCTCAATTATGACTCGCTTTTCTTACTTTTCAAAATAATAGAGGTATTAGCCTAGAGAAAAGTCTAAAGGGTGACTTATTTCCTTTCTTTGGGTATACGGAGGCTTGTCACAAGGAAGACTTTGACCAACTGATCTCCCTCTTCACAGAGGAAGAAGAAAAGAAACTCAGATAGCTGTGACAAGGAAAGTACTTTACAGGTATACAAAAAAAGTACTTTGCAATTATAGGGGTAATTAAATACTAGCAGAGTCTTCTTAAAGGAAGTTATAAAATTGCCACATATAAAGAAGTTTTTCAGATTGATACCATTACCTTCCATTTAGCTGATCACAGAATTTAAGAACTAGAATAGACCATAGAGGTCATGTAGTCTGATACTCTCATTTCACATTTGACAAGATTAATAATAATACTATGATTCTAAAAAAAAAAATAAAGGACAGATTCCGTTTTAAAAACTGATAGATTTTAATAAGCTATGCTGTAACACTTATAATTAAACACTAACAATGAAATGCACTTCTTTTCTTTCAGGGTCAAATAGAAATTGAAGACCAGGTAGAAGGACTTCAGTATCTAGCATCTCAGTATGATTTCATTGATTTAGATCGTGTGGGCATCCATGGCTGGTCCTATGGAGGATACCTCTCTCTGATGGCATTAATGCAGAGGTCAGATATCTTCAGGGTATGTGAATTCTTGTAGACTTGTTTTTGAGACACAAATAAAAATATCTTTATGGCTTAGGGATAGAACATAGGGCAGAATTCTTCTAAATGAAGGATGGCATTTAATTTTTTCCCTAAGTACTATGTAATCTTAAAAGAAAAAATTTATGTTTCATTAATGCCTTTTGTTTTACATCATAGCCATTTCCAGCTATAATACCCTCCCCCAAGAATACTCCCTTATAACCACAGAGACAATTAAGTATATCTAACCAATGTAGTAACTGTATCTGATAGAATATACCACATAATTAAATGCCTTTTTTTTTTGTTTTAGAGACTCAGAAAAGCTGTAAAATATCAGAGGTTTATATATGTTAACTTTCCATAAGGTATATAGCCATATGATTTGTCAATTTTTGACAACCAATTATTATTAGAAAATTTTGACCACAAAGGCTTAAAAAAAATTAATGAGAAGTTTTTAAAATAGCATGACCTATAGAAATCAGATATCATGCATAATGATGTAATTAATAACAGCAGAATATTTTTATTCAGCCATCAATATAAATTCAAATGACTGGCATGATTTTCACTGGCTACTACCTGTGGACAGGCTCAATAAGATATTTAAATATAAAAGTTTATGTGGCATCCATAAAATTAAATGATTTAATATTTAAATATAGCCTTTTGTTGTTTTAAGCCAGCAGAGCTACGAGGGACTTTAAAAAAAAATCATAGCAAGAGCCATGAAACTGAAAGCAAGCTACCAAGATTACACAACTGTCAAGTAGTAAAGTGAGGATTTGAACTCATGTTCTCTGATTCCAAATTTTCCTTTACTTGATAATGCTGCATTCCATACACAAAGCTTATGTATGCAAGATGCTTTCAGCATATACCCTCTTAATTAATTTTTCTAGTAATAGAGATGGATTTGCAATAAACCATCTACAGTTTCTTTTTCAGTCACCCTTTTGACTAAATAATATGCATTTGTAAAATGATTGATCCAAGAGAAGAATGCATTATGTGCCTGAAAAACGGAGAAACTAACTGGCCACCCATGACTTGAAATAACATTTACAACGTGACTATCTAAGCTAACTAGAACTAAAATCCATTATGTACAACATGAGAATAATTTTAGCCTATTCATATGCAGTTGTAAGTATTCATTGCTAATCCTTTCCTGGCCCACATTTAATTATGATTGTTGGTTTGTATAGGTTGCCATTGCTGGAGCTCCAGTTACTCTGTGGATTTTCTATGATACAGGATATACAGAGCGTTATATGGGTCACCCTGACCAGAACGAACAGGGCTATTACCTAGGATCTGTGGCCATGCAAGCAGAGAAGTTCCCTTCTGAGTAAGTGTAGTCTTTTAATCAATAAGCAAAATTTAAAAATTAAATTTTTATTTTAGGGCCAGTTTTTAATAGTTTGATGGAAATACTAGTCCTGGGACAGAGGGAGGGAGGAACAAAAAAAAAATAAAATAAAAAGTGCCCAGCAGAGAACAAAAGAAAAACTAGAAGTACAGAAAAGCTGGGTAGCTTTGAAAACAATGTGTAGTATTTATTACACAGGTTTTTTTGAAATGGAAATTTATTGTTTTATATTGAATCCTCTCTTATGTTCTGCTGTGTCCATGGAAATGGTTTTTTTCTTGTTTTGTATTTAAGTTTAAAATGAATAAAAAATTATTTTAAAAAGGAAATACCAGTCCTAAATGGTCAGTGTTAACAAAGTGATTTTATAGAGTTCTAAGATAGTAGCTTTTACTTACTTGAATAATCATTTGCATAATTATAATCCTGTTCATGTAATTTATTTTCTTCTACCTATGATTAAAGAAATTAAAGACAAAATTCTACTAAAATGGAACAAAAAAGATGTTAAAAGGTTTTTATACAATATTGCATAACTGCCCTATTCCTGGAAAAGGGTATGACTGATAATATGTCTGGTTTCACAGCCAGTTTCTCTAAAGGAAATTGTACAGACCCACCCTCTGTTTCGTTCTTGATTTTTTGCCCCCTAAGACAAGGAAGCAAGTTAACATAGTGTGATTTTGAAGTTAAATTGTTAGAATTTGATCATGATACATGAGGAAATTTGCAGTAATTAGAGCTATATATTAAATTATGTGACTCACTTAAGCATTCCAGCATATCACCCAATACTCTATGTTTTGTCTTTTCCAGACCCAATCGTTTACTGCTATTGCATGGGTTCTTGGACGAAAATGTTCACTTTGCACACACCAGTATATTACTGAGTTTTTTAGTAAGGGCTGGGAAGCCATATGATTTACAGGTAAGTTCCCATGCACCATCTGCATTAAGATATGACAATATCATATGATTGTCAATTTTCCTGGGTAAGAATTCTGTGCTACTCTTTGGCCTTACGAGCTCAAGATTTTTAAATAAGACATGATGTGAAAAGTAAATGGTATGTCCTTGCATTCTGATAAGAGTAAAAGGTTATGTTTTTAGCTCTGGTCTACTATTTATGAGAACCAAAAGGATAGACATGGTTAAATGCCTCCAATTTAACAAAAATTGAAACTTGGTTAAGGTTGTGCTGAGAAACTTGACTATCTAGTTCCACAGCTCAATGTTTTCTTACTCAGTTTCATTCTTTGTAAACACAGAAATGGCAGTAGGCAGTCAATTTACTGTTCTTTTCCTTTTTTTCTTTTAGTAGGTTGAGGAAATGATGCTTGATTTCATGGTTGGAAAGGCAATTTTTTGATATCATAATCTTTTAGTTCTTTCTTCCCTACTTCACCATTAACATTGATTCGTGTAGTCCAGAAGTCAGAAGGTTATCTCTTCTCAAATAAACAAGTTGTCATTATTTAAAACCCACTTCTGAGTAGTGAGAGGAATAAGTTTCTTTCTTACATATCCTCATTCTACTACTTACACACATATTCACATGTGCCCTTGAGCATATCTGCTTTTTTATTCCATTTGTTGAATTGTCATGGGCATTTGTGTTTGAGGAAATAGTCTGAATTATCTAATTGCAGATAAGTAGGTGTTTTTTCTCTTAACTTAATGATAAAGGAAGTTGGAAGAAGAGGGGATGTGTCAGAAAACTGGATGAGATGAAAAGCTTTTTTTATGGATCTCTAATGACTGTGTGTATGTGTGTGCATGTTTGTAACCTCTCTGTAAGGCTACTCTTCTTGCATGTTGTTAATCTTGTTAGACATCTGTTGGGGGAGATTTTAAAAGAGATTTATAGTTATTAACTGCTTGTCCTTTGTATTTTGTGATATTAATTTTTATTTTTAGATCTATCCTCAGGAGAGACACAGCATAAGAGTCCCTGAATCTGGAGAACATTATGAACTGCATCTTTTGCACTATCTTCAAGAAAATCTTGGTTCACGAATTGCTGCTCTGAAAGTGATATAATTGTGACTTTTGTGGAACTTTGGTACATGGCTGCTTAACCAAATAAGGAGGTTTAATCTGTAGAAAATATAGAGAACTGATCATCACATTTTGGTGCCTGCTACATAACATCCACTTCTGAAAGTAAATTTGGTGCCATACAGGAATCTACAGTACATGAATAGCAACCTCATACCTTAACTCACACAAAGAATTGAACAATGTAAATTTCCATGGGACACAGCAATACCATGAAAATTACTGAGAGAAGCTAAAACATTTGCAGCACATATCAACACCATCATATTTCCACCTTTTAAAAGCATTGTAAGCGTCATGGATTTAATTGGTGTATTTTTACATTATATTTGAGTTTGTTACATTATGGTAATATTAGGTGATTGGTTCACTACAATTCCTGAATCTCTGGCTAATGACAAATTTGATAGCACTTAAGTGTAATTGAATAGCTTATGCTTCATTGCTTGGGGTGTGTCCAGCATGTTAAGTACTAATCACTATTAAACCTATGACTTAACCAATTGTTAATGATTTTAAGGAATAATTCCTAGTGGCCTCCTAAAGATACTTACTTTGGTTTATTCAAGTTCTTCCCAGTTTTTCAGTGAGTTTCAGCTGTGTCTAGTAAAAAAAAAAATACTAATTTTTCTTTGATGATATGACAAGATGGGTTTTACCTGATTTACTTTCACATAAAGCAGAGTAACTGTATTTGTAGCATGGTTTTAACTAATCTTATGGTATTAATAATTATATGCAGATTAATTTTAAATTGAATGACAATAACTTAAATATTTGCAGGCTGTTTTTTCCTTTAGGAAAAGAAAAGTATATTTTCAGTTTTGTTCTTCAGAAAATATGTTGGTACCCAATTTTCCATATACCATTTCCTTATATTGAAATGTTCTAGATTTGACAGAGACAAGGGAAGGTGGGGGGCAGATGGAAGGGAAACATAGGGAGGTTGGAGTGGGGATATGGATCTTTTTTAGCCCAAAGTATAAGTGCCACTTGGCTGGGAAAAGTCATGAAAAAAAATTGGAAATGAGATTTTAACTTGTAGAATATTAACTAGGAAAACCAAAGTAAAATAATCACCCCCAAGCCAGCATAATCCTAAACTGACTATATTCAGGAGAATTCTTTTTAAATTTTTTAGAAGCAAATATTTACATTCCCTCCTTTTTAAGTGGTTCAATGAGCACAAAGAGCTTTTTGGAAACGGCAAGCTTGAAGTAGAAATTTAATTTTCCAACAGATTTCTTTATCATAAGTTGAACCCCTTAGTGATGCATTATTCTCTTCCTCATTGTTCAAAATTTGTGTATAATTTCCAATTTTAAGTTTCCTTAAAATAAACTCTGATAATGAAATTATTCTGGTTTACCCCTAACATTTGAATGTTCAAGGGTTTTCATATGCTTTCAGGTACTGATTGGGTTCCCACTGGAGTGTTGAGTTAGAAGGGCAGAATTTTCTTCATGCTAGAGGACCTGGATAAGAGCTTAGCAGGAAGGAAAACTTAACTTTAAAAACCTACCTAGCCCTGCTAATCATAGGCGTTGATGTTTTCTTGGGAAGAAGTTACCGTACTTATGAGCAAGAGTCCCCAGAGAGAATGTGGAAGTTTCTTTTGCTTATCACATATTGACTGTAGATTTTTGTCTACAGAGCATATAGTTGTCACAAAGACTTTATCTTTGTGGCTAGTTTTCACCTTATGACAAGAGGGGGTAAGAAATGAGAGAAGCCAGAAGTGATAATGTACCAATGTTGGTTATTCATTTGGGAAAATTCTTTCCATATTTTGATTGTAGTGTATATATACACCTATCTCTCTCTGTGTATATTTATCATATATACATATATCACATATATATGTATATGTATATATGTACAAACTTACATGTTTAATATCCTCCCACATCTAGATTTGTTTATATTCTTTTGATTTGGGTAACTTCACACCCCCGAAACGCAAGAAAATATTTCCCCCTGTGACTTGAGTTTTACTTGATGAGGGAGATGCATGTTTCTGTACCAATAATAGTCTCCAAGGATCTATGATCATTGCACACAGTGTGCAGAGCAGAATGGGTATTCAGTAGTACCACAAGCCAGTGGACAAGTATTCATTTTAAATCTCTTACTTTGTAAGGCTGCCTGTTTACAATGGCACCTCTTGCTTTGCCAAAAGAAAAAAACAAAATACTCAAATGTTACTGCATACTGTTCTAGTGAAACACACGGTTCCTTTTTAGTTCTTCCCTTTTTCCCATCCCAATAAATAAAGAAATTGGAAGTTCTCATTACAACTTCTAAGCACTGTTTCCCTTCTTTACCAGTGAAGAAATGCTGTCACGTTGGCAGCCATACTATGAACATGACTGATTTTTTTTTCAGAAAGGATACTATGCTGTTGCTAAAGGAAGTGGACACTCATGGTTACAAAGTTAGCAAGCAATGGAAAGCTCTACCAAGATTCACTGGTAACATTAACTATGAGGAAAGCAACTCATCAAGTGGAAGTTTAAAACAAGGAGCACATTTGGTGAGAGCCAAAAAGCACTGGGGTTAAAAAGCAACCTGGGTTATTCATTGTCTTGATAAATTCCCATGGTCATTACTGAGTATAGTTATTTGAAATAACTCTGAAGACTCTAATGGGTGAAATTTATACTATGCTGACTTAGAAGAGATAGTGATGTGTAAGCAGGAAATCCTCTCCCCACAGTTAAGTATTGACCACCTTTTCTCACTACAAGAGACGAGTATGAAGAACATCTAGCAGCTCTACATTACTTGTAAGAACAAGGAGTAAAGGCTGCTCTTGAGGACAGCTTCCTCCTCTCTTCCATGGCCTCAGTTTGAAAATTTTTCCCACAGGCAACAAAAGGGAATGAATCCTGGTCTTACCACCACCATACCAGCTTCCTGACCTTTTTAAGAATTCTATTTAATTGTTGCATGTTGCCAGTGTTTAGATTTTTCTTTTTGTTTTAGATTTTGTTCTATTTTCTACTTTTCTTTATATAATATCTTTTTTCATGTTTTAGAATTATTCTCCTAATAAAACTCATAAGTTCCAAGAAATATGTAGGAAAAGCAAACTTCAAATACACACACACATACATTATATATATATGTATACATATATATATATATACACATATATACAGTCTTATTTCACCTATTTGAGCACCTTTTTCTTTAATAAAATAGTACCTAAATGTGGAGAAGGAAATGGCAAACTACTGCAATCTCTTTGCCAAGAAAATCCCAAATGGGGTCACAAAGAGTCAGACATGACTGAAAAACAACTGAGCAAAAATTTTTTTTCCCTACTCCAAATTATATGCTAAGGATGCTTATTAATGAAGTTGTACTAATTAGCATGTGAAGTTGTTAAATATTATTAAAGTCATTCTGCCAATTAAAATGTGTTTTACCTGGTAATAGGAACATTAGAGAATTGATAATTCACAAGATTGGCTGCTAATAGCACAAGATTGGTTGCTCATGATCTAGAAGCCCATCTACCTGACCTATTAACTTAGAAAACAGAGCCAGGACTAGTCCTAATGGAAGTCTGAAGGATAGCTAGCCCTTCTTGTGATACAAAGGGGGAGAAAAAAGATATAAGAAGAACCTTCCTCCACCCCAACTCCCAGCCAAGGATATTGGGATAATTTAATACAAAATGCCTTCCCAGTTTCCTTCTGGTTCTCTGAGTGTCAGTACACATGCATACAATTTCCAAACTGATCGATTCTACAGACCTTCAGGATGAAGAAACAGTAGTGTTTTGGTTAGGTTTTTTTCCCCCTTTTCTTTTGTGGTTGTTCAGCACAATTAGAGTTCAGGTGTTTAATTTTAGAATGTGAAGTGCCTACTGTTTTAAGCATTGACTTGTACTAACAGAATTGCATGTCTCCCTCCAGTAAGTTTCCCTATTTCTAGCTACATGGCTTTTAATCATGTAAAGTGGAAACATTAGTTTTGTTGTGCTTTATTACAGATCCTTTTGTTGGAATAAAGATGCTGCTAAAATAAATTGAATTAAATGTTTCTCCCCTACCCCATTTTAAAGCTCCCAGTGTCATCTCTCCCCAAATTCCCTCTCTTTGATTTAATAGCTTGTATTTAAGGATGAAATTAAATCTCTAGTTTCAGCCTTCAAAAGTAACATTTTGAGGTTAGTGGGAAGAGGAGAAAGAGGCCACTTTGTGAAGAATTACACAGGTTTTTAAGTATTAAAATTAGTCAAATCTCTGCATTAATTAATGTGTGAAGCCTAGAGGGAGATGTACAATGTTGCTTTCAAGCTGCAAATTGTTGCTTTCAAGTTTCAAATTGTTCTCAGTAACCACCAGCTGGTGCTGCTGAGCGAGGAAAGATACTGCTTTGGAAATCAGCAGGCACAAGCTGTGTTTGTAGAAAGCATCTTTTTTTTTTATTAATAAATTTATTTATTTTTAGTTTTCAACATTTACTTCCGCAAGATTTTGAGTTCCAAATTTTCACCCCATCTCGCCCCTCCCCCCACCCCAAGATAGCATGCATTCTGAATATCCCTTCCCCTACTCTGCCTCCCCTTCTCTCTCGCCCCCTTCTCTTATCCCCTTCCCCTTCTATTTTTCTGTAGGGCAAGATAGATTTCTGTACCCCATTTCCTGTATTTCTTATTTCCAAGTTGCATGTGAAAACATTTTTCTTTTAAACATGTGTTTTTAAATCTTTGGGTTCCAAATTTTCTCCCCTCCCCACCCACCCTCATTAAAAGGCAAGCAACTCAATATAGGTTATACATGTGCAGTTATAGAAAACACTTCCATAGTAGACATGCTGTGAAAAACTAACTCTATTTCCCTTAATCCTATCCCACCCCCCCATTTATTCTATTCTTTCTTTTGACCCTGTCCCTCCTCAGAAGTATTTGCTTCTGATTACCCCCTTTCCCAATCTGCCCTCCTCTCTGTCATCCCCCTACTCTCTTGTCCCCTTTCCCCCCTATTTTCCTGTAGGGTAAGACAGATTTCCATACCCAATTGAGCGTGTAGGTTCTTACCTCCTTAAGTCAAATCCTATGAGAATAAGATTTACTCATTCCCTCTCACCTTCCCCCGTTTCCCCTCCACTGTAAGAGCCTTTTCTTTTCTGTTTTTTTTTTGTGAGGTAATTTACCCCATTCTACCTCTCCCTTTCTCCTTCTCCTAGTATAATCCTCTCTCACGCCTTATTCTCCAGATATGACCCCTTCATTTTCAACTCAGCCTGTGCCCTCTGTCTATCTATACATACATACATATAATTTTTTCCCTCCAACTACCCTAATACTGACAAAGGTCTCATGAGTTACTAATATCATCTTTCCATGCAGGAATGTAAACAGTTCAACCTTAATAAGTCTCTTATGATTTCTCTTTCCTGTTTACCTCTTCATATTCCACTTGAGTCCTGTATTTGAAGGTCAGATTTTCTATTCAGCTCTGGTCTTTTCATCAAGAATGCTTGAAAGTCCTCTATTTCACTGAATGACCATTTTTTCCCCTGAAGGATTATACTGGTTTGCTAGGTAGGTGATTCTTGGTTGTAATCCTATCTCCTTTGCCCTCCAGAATATTATATTCCATGCACTGCGATCCCTTAATGTATAAGCTGCTAAATCTTGTTATCCTGATTGTGTTTCCACAATACTTGGCTGCATGTAATATTTTCTCCTTGACCTGGGAACTCTGGAATTTGGCTACAATATTACTAGGAGTTTTTCTTTGGGGATCTCTTTCAGGAGGAGATGGGTGGAGTCTTTCAATTTCTATTTTGCCCTCTGGTTCTAAAATATCAGGGCAGTTTTCCTGGATAATTTCTTGGAAGATAATGTCTAGGCTCTTTTTTTGATCATGGCTTTCAGATAGTTCAATAATTTTTAAATTCTCCTGGATCTATTTTCCAGGTCAGTTGTTTTTCCAATGAGATATTTCACATTGTTTTCTAATTTTTTATCCTTTTGGATTTGTTTTATAGTGTCTTGATTTCTCATAAAATCACTAGCTTCCAATTGCTCTATTCTAATTTTTAAGGAAGTATTTTCTTCAGTAATCTTTTGGACTTCCTTTTCCATTTTGCCAGTTTTGCTTTTTAGGGCATTCTTCTCCTCATTGGCTTTTTGGACCTCTTTTGCCATTTGGGTTAGGCTATTTTTTAAGGTGTTACTTTCTTCAATATTTTTTTTTGGGTCTCCTTTAGCAAGCTGTTGACTTGTTTTTCATGATTTTCTTGCATCACTTTAATTTTTCTTCCCAATTTTTCCTCTGCTTCTTTTACTTGCTTCTCAAAATCCCTTTTGAGCTCTTCCAAGACCTGGGACTGATTCATATTTTTCTTGGAGGCTTTGGATGTAGGAGCTTTAACTTTGTTGTCTTCTTCTGGTTGTATGTTTTGATCTTCTTTGTCACCAAAATAAGATAATATAGTCTGACTCTTTTTGCACTGCTTACTCATGATCCCGGTCAATTACTTGAGTTTTAAACTCTTTGTTAAGGTAAGAGTCTGCTTCTAATGTGGAGAATGTACTGTCCCAAGCTTCAGGGGTTTGTACAGCTGTTTTCAGAGATACTTCTAGGGACTTGTAAATTTTCAATTCTTCCAAGGTGGTATGATAAGGGATGAGGTGTTTCCTCTCCACCGCCACTACGCCAGTGTTCCTTCTCGCCCCAGGACCGCCCCTTAGAACTGTGACCCAGATCCAAGCACAGGCAAAGCAAGATATTCCTTCCTCAGCACTGGCAAAGAGATCCCTGCAGTCCCCCTCTGATCAGCCACTCGATTCCCCCTCAGTCTGTGGGCCAGAAGCTCAGGAGGCAGCCGAGGCCCACGCTTGGGACTTGTGGCTGAAACCTAGCTTCTAACTTTCACCGCAGTCACAGACTTTTCCCTCTGACCTTCTAAGTTGTCTTCGGAGTTCATGGGTTGAGAAGTCTGGAAACTGTCACAGCTGCCCGTGATTCAGTCCTCTGAGGCCTGCTCCAGGGTTGCTGCGGCCTGAATGCCGACCTGCGCTCTTCTCTCCACCCCGCACTGTATACCTTTCTGATCAACCATCCAGGCTGTCTTTGGCTGGAAATTTGTCTTTTTGTGGGTTCTGCTGCTTTAGAATTTGTTTAGAGCCATTTTTTATAGGTATTTGGAGGGGTTTGGGGGAGAGCTCAAGGAAGTCACTGCTTTCCCGCAGCCATCTTGGCTCCACCCCCTAGAAAGCATTTTGATGCAATGGGAAGAGCCCTGGATTTGGATCCAGAGGACCTGGGTTGGACTCATAGCCCTGCAACTACATAGCCCTTTGTAACCTTGAGCAAGGCATTTAACCTCTCTAAGCCTTAGTTTTCTCATCAGTGAAATGAAAGGGTTAGACTATGATTTCATCTATTCCTATCCACTCCTGTGGCTTCAATTATCACCTCTATGCAGTTGATTCACAAATCTACCCAGCCCCAACTTCTGTTAGCTATTCACTCTCAAGGATTGTCTAATGAAGATCTCCACCAGGATATTGAAGGCACCCATGTCCCATGTCAATATGTCCCAAGTTGAACTCATCTTCAAAAAACCTGTTTCCCTTTCCTAATTTTTGTTTATGCTAAAAGCAGTCATCTTCCCAGTAACCCAGCCTCATGTAACTTGTCATCTTTGACTCTCCTCTCTCTCAAACTCAGTAATCTGCCAAGTTTTTCTAATTCTGCCTCCACAACATCTCTTAACTATCCTCTCCTTTCTGTTGCTGCTGCGTTTACCCTACTTAAGGTTGTCATTTCTTTTTTCCTGGACTCTTTCATTATCCTCTTAATCAGCCTTAACTAGTCTCCACTCTCCAGTCAATCTGCTGCCCAGATTATCTTTATCATGTACCATGTAATCGTTTATCATGTTGGCCTCAAAACTTCCAGGGGTCCACATTGTCTACTGAATTAAAAATAGTCCTAATCCTGGCTTTCAAGGCCTTCCACAAGCTAGTTCAAACCTACCTTTTCTGCTTTACCTCATATCTTTCTATACTCTGCTTTCCAGGCAATCAAAACTACTCTTTATTCCCCATACTTGTGTCTTTTATCTTTGTTTTTTCTCATGCTTTGAATAGACTCTTGCCTTTCATCTGTTGAAATCCTTTCCCTCTTGGTCCAGTTCCTCCCAGATCACATCCTTACACCTCAACTTGAAAGTAATTCTTCCCTCAAATTCCTAGATCCTTTGCACTTCGTGTACTTTTCATGTTATCAGTCATTTATGTACTTGTATTGAAGTAATTCTTGTCTTGCCTCCATCTCCCATTAGATTGTAAACTCTTTGGAAGTAGATTCTGTGTCATCTTTCTTTATATCCACAGTGCCTTGGTCATAGTCATGCTTAAATAAATGTTTGTTGAGTTGTGTTAGCAAGAATTAATTCCCCATCACCCAGATTCTATCTTTGGTAGAAGTAGAGGGTCAGAATAGAATCATCATGAAAGGGAAGCTCCCCCTCCTGGTCCTAGGAGTGCTAAACCCTATTGAACTATCACTAGCAAAGAATAAGTCTCAATTTGGTATTAAAGAAAGAGGTTAGTCCCACATGCTCAAGAGAGCTCATCTTACTCTAAAACTCTGGTTGATAGAAATTTGCTAATGTTTGTTCTATTAGAATGCCTTGGCTTTCTCCTCTGAGACTACTATGAACCTAGAGCTCACAGTTTGATAGAGGAGGCAGATAAAATGCTAAGACAGCTGAGGTAGATAGGTTTGTCTAAGATATTTCAGTAATAACTTGATTAGAGGCAATGTGGTGTAGTATAGAGAGCTGGTCTCAAAGCCAGGAAGACCAAGGGTCAAGTCCTGCCTCTGACATCCTGGCTAAATGATCCCAGGTAAGTCATTTAAGCTCTCAGTGCTCTGGGCAACTCCCCACAGCAGTGGTGTCATGACACAACTCAAACAGGAACTGGGGCCACTAAACTACATAAGGATCTCTGAAGTCACATATTGATTTAGAAAAGCACATATTAACATTAATTGTGTTCTATTGTGTTTTGTGTATTTTGTCAAGTATTTCC